TTTCATCTTATGTTTTTATAATTATTTTCTTATTATTTTTTATAATTTTTTTTTTACTTTTTATTTATTCATTTATTTTTTACTTTTTATTTATTCATTTATTTTTTACTTTTTTTAAATTGAATTATTATTACTTATATTTTTTAACAAATTTTTTACATTTTTATTCATGTAATTTTTTTTAACTCATTTTTTGCTATCACACAGGAGCTAACAAGTCCCTGTGTGATAGCATTTGGAGGTCACAGGTTGCACTGTGCTGGAACTCCTGTGACAGGTGAGAGGGGAAGACTGCTCTCCCCTCTCCCTGTTTACACGGAGCGGCAGGGTTAATGTTAACCCTGTTGCTCTTTTCCCACTCTCCATCCTGAAGCCGCCAGCGAGGAGAGGAAGGAGCCGGAAGGACGGAGCCAGCATGGAGAGAGGTAAGGTGCGGGGGGAGAATGGACCGGCTGCAGTCTTATTACAAGTGATCTTGGCGACATCGCCAAGATCACTTGTAAACAAACAAGTGGCTTCCCCATTCTACATTTAGCCCTGCTTGTGCAAAGCAGGGCTAAATGTAGAAAACAAATTTACTGCCCGGCACCCAAAACTGCATGTCCGGGCGTCGAGAGCTTTCAAGCCGCTGCCGCCTCTCTGCTCCCTGCCGCCCCCAGCCCAGGCCTCGGTGGCCATGTGGGGAGTCCGGCCCTGAACATGCTGTGTAAACTGATGATGATATATAAATACCTAATAATAATACTAAAATCTGATTGGCCTTTACCATATACACTGCTTGTCCGAGAAAAAAAAGTCACCTCCTGGATTTAGCTAAGCAAATAGGTCAGAGCTTTCCACTGAACAATAGGTCTAGGTTCAGCAACGTTATGTGACTAGAAAATGAGGTCAGCTGCCCAGGGCCATCCCTACAATAGGGCAGCCTGAGGCAGCATCTCTTTAGGTCACATGGGGGGGGCGGCAGGCAGATGTTTGCCATGTGCCTGCGGTCCCCTTTTCAGCCAGAGTGTCCGTGTTTACTAAGAGCCAAGATTGCTCTTAGCAGCATGGGATGCTCTGGCCACCGTCCTGCTCAGCTCCTGGCAACCAGTGACGTCACTGGTTGCCAGGAGCTGAGCGGGACACCGGTCAGAGCGTCCGAGGTAGCTAAGAGATGGGCGGGGAGATGTGTATAGCCCTTACTCAGCTCCCCAGGAGCTGAGAGGGACGCTCTGGCTGGCATCCTGCCCAGCTCCTGGCAACCAGTGATGTCACTGGTTGCCAGGAGCTAGGCAGGACACTGGCCAGAGCTGGAGCCAGAGCTCGGCAGGGAGATGATACAGAGGCCACATCCCTTGGTTAGCGGGCATCATCAGCAAAGTCAGTGTGCTAAATGTCTATGATGGAAAATATTCTAATACAAATTAGGCACAGCCACAAGTATGACTCCCAGAGGCATGATGGGATTGGGTTTAACCACAGATGGAGGGCCAATGTTACCTACCCCTGTTTTATGGCATTGGCCAAGCCCAGTACAATATGCCACTTGTATTTGGCCAAATTGGATAAAAATATGCACGTTGGACTAGTCGATGATTCAGATCTGGTGTATGGATCTACACTTGTATCATATTCCAGCTTTTTTTTCTCCTTTCATCAACCAGAAATCTGTTCTAGCAGCTCTGGCTGTATTGTCACATCCACATTGATTTTCTTGATGCTGTAGCCATCTGCACCTTTTACAGCACTGCCATAAGAGCCTTTGTCATGTACTCCAAAGGCACCGAAGATAATTCCCTCAATGTAATCCCACCATCACGAGGCAGCTATTATTTGGAGAGGTAGAAGTAATAAAGCGGTACAGCAAATGAGAATGATTACAAAAGAAGCGGCATCTGCTGTGGCGTGACTGTTGCATCCCTCGTACACTTGCTGCGGGTGATTGTGTGACAGTCTGGTGACAGCCACTGTGTATGACAATGGGAAGCAGTGTGTGCGTGTGTTGTGTGTGCGGCTGCTAACCTCCTCCCATGAGTCTGTCCTACCCATTTATTCATCTGTGGATCACACGGAGGGAACGCAAATTCAACCCAGCCGCTAGAAACACAGAAGCTGTGGGCGCATTACAGGATTTTTTTTTTTAATCAAGCTATTTTGTACGTGTGTAAAGTTTATGCATCGAATTTTACATATCCGCAGGGCTTGCTTTTTTTTTTCAAGGCAAGGTGAATTAATGAATGAAGGAGGATGGAGCAGCTGCTGATTTGATGGTAAACCCGTGCTGAGTGAAGGCTGAACGACGCTCAAATGGCCATTTATCTCAGTCCTATTCTCCTGCGAGGAATCTTTTAGGAATAGCAACACCAGCAAACAATGCAACAGTGAGAACTATTCAGTGATCTCTGGATTGTGACCCATACACCGTCCGTATAGATTGTATACTTCTTGGCGTGCCAATATCATTGAGATTCCTGGACGGATTCGGTGAACGCATACAGAATCGGTTTTCCACGATGGAAATGTGAACTAGGCGGACCGATTTGACCGATCCAGCCTCCCAGCTTAGGAAGGGGGACATCTGTCTCTCTTTGTCACTTTTATTTCCCACCCAGCCTCTGGAATGGATTCCGACAACCCCAAAAGGGGCACACTGGCTGTTTAAAGATGCATTCCACTTACTGCTATGGGAGAGTTGTGGATGGTGGTGTATGATGTCTGCTAGCTGCTGGTCAGTACGGCTGCTGAATGGGATTCTGCTTTGTCACCACAATGCCATCCTGCCGTAAATTCCACGATATTGACGAGTGCCCCCTCCTCGATTCGCCTGTAGGAATAAACGTAATGTGTTATTGGCACATGAAGCATTAACGGAACCCCTGCCAAAACATTTCATTTAGCAGCATTACACCGACCCTTTATCGTCTTATTACATCAATCTCACAGCAAATATCTCAGAATAAGTGGAATATAAAAACCAGTTTGGTAAACGAGCACAACAGCCATTGCTGGTTATTTATTTTAACATGGGACACCCAAATAATAACTAATTTTATTTGCTTTTGCCATGCAATGAGAAGAACGGTGCGGCTGCACACCACTGAACAATGTCACCATAACCTGACTGACAGTATATAGCTTAATTTTGTATCAGGTTACATGCCTGGCAGTGTAAAAAGGAAAAACATGAAGTATTTTGTCATTTGGGGTGGATATCTGTGACAGATCGTGGGAGGAGGAGCAGCACTGAGTGATTGAGTGTGGCAGGAGCTGAACACACAGCACAAGCATCAGCCCTGTCAGGGCTCGCGTTGCGGAAATTGACAGTTTTGGCCCCTCCGGCTCTCGGTAGGGGAGATGGGAGAGAACATGTCTAAGAGACTGAGGCTGCAGTTCGGCGGGGAGGCGGAAATGGAAGAACGCTCGTTCGTCAACCCGTTCCCGGATTACCGGCCGCCGCCGTCGTGTACCCCGGCGGCTGCCGATCAGGAGGAGGAGGAGGGGGACGAGGAAGACTCCGGAGAGCATGGAGAGCTGGATCTGCCCTTTGATAAGGATGGCAAGGTACGTCCCGGGTCTGTGGCATTACAGACCACCTGTCACATTTAAAGCTGAACACAGGACACATGTCTCACATGTCTCTCACATGTCACAAAACCTCTCATTCAGATATATTACGTAATAGCCACAGAGGCAGCGAATCCACCTTGTGTGCACCAAATGCCTTTGTAAACGCAGTTATTGCCTCGTAAAAGCATTGGTGACATCACTGTGCAGAGCTGAGAGGCTCAGCAGGCTCCACCTACTACTACACGCTGCCTGCAGAAAACTCCTGGAGGGGGCGGAGGCTAGACCAGTCACCCTGCACAAGGGATTGACTTGTGCACAGTGATTCCTATTTGGGTGAGTACTGTACTCGGCCAAATGCTCCTGATGCCTATCCTGATACTGGAACTTCCCATACCAGGAAGCCAGGCGGCAAATCATTACACTCTGCCTGGCTTCCCAATTGGCCAGGAGGACGGCTCTAAGCTCCCTCGTCACCAGGGAGCATGGAGCTGGCTTTCTGGCCAATTAGGGGGGCTGGTAATGACTCGCCGCCCAGCTTTCTGATTGGCGAGCTTCCCGACCAATCAGGAAGTTGGGGGGGGAGTCATTACACGCCGCCCAGCTTCCCGATTGGCTGGAAAGCCAGATCCATGCTATCTCGTCACTATGTGACGAGGAAGCATGGAGCCGGCTTTCTGGCCAATCAGGATGCTGGGGGGCGGGTAATGACTCGTCACCTGGCTTCCTGATTGGCGGGGAAGCTGGCTCCATGCTCCCTCGTCACTTGGTGACCAGGGAGCTGGCTTCCCGGCCAATCAGGAAGCTGGGCGGCGTGTAATGACTCACCACCCAGCTTCCTAATTGTTTGGAAAGCTAGCCAATCAGGAAGCCGGGCAGCAAGTCATTACACGACCCCCAGCTTCCTGATTGGCCAGAAAGCCGGCTCCATGCTTCCTTGTCACATGGTGACGAGGTAGCATGGAGCTGGCTTCCTGGCCAATCAGGAAGCCATGCGCCATGTAATGACTTGCCGCCCGGCTTCCTGATTGGATGGGAAGCTGGCTAATCAGAAAGCCATGCGGGGAGTCATTGCCCGCCAGCTTTCTGATTGGCCAGAAAGCTGGCTCCTTGCTTCCTCGTCACCTGGTGACGGCTAATCGGGAAGCCGGGCGGTGAGTCATTACATGAGGGGCAGTCCCTGTATGGGAGAGAGGTCAGCGTTGACTGCCAGGGGAGTGGGGATTAGGTGCGTAAAAATCCTTTACTTGGGTACCCTAGACCTAAACAAGTATTTTAACTCTTGCAGTGTGGGGTAGGCCCATCCATTGGAAGGGAAGTATTTTTTTCTCCCTGGATATAGACTCTAAAGGTGCCCATACACTTTACAACCGAGGGTTGTAAAGTACTTTAAAAAACGTACGATCTGCCCATCTTGGACAGGCAGATCGTACTTGCGATCATCGCAAGCCCGCCCCCCTGAGGAGCGGGCTTGCGATGACTGCAATGAGGGGCGGGCTTCCTATGACTGCAAAAAGGGGCGGGCTTCCGATCACTGCAAACGGGCAGTGTGCGCGTTCGCACACCGGCCCGTTTGACAGTTGT